CGACATATGTTACTTTAGAAACAACAACTTCGCTGCTCAAAAGTTGTTAAGAAAACAGGAGAAACAAAATACACTCTTCAATATGCTCCAACATGTGATGATAGTTCATGGACAGATGACATAAATGCGTCTTTAGAAGAAATTGATGCCGCATCTATTGGAGGGTATTATGTAAAATACAATTATTATAAAGATAATGATTACAAAACTGGATCTCCTGATTTTTATATAACCTCTCTTGGTTGTGTTAGTTTTGAAGGACAGAACATGACGATCAATTCTGATGATAAGAAAGTATACATGACTTATTATGCTGATTCAAAATGTTTAACTTCGGTTAATGGTAAATCTAACATAGAAAAAAATTTTGGAGAATGTGACAATAGTATGATTCCTGTTAATCAATTTACTGCTCCAAACTTTTACATTCAAGAAGATTCGACATATTTTCAGGTTTATGTCGAAGGAATATGTTACAAAGATGATGATAACAAATTTGTTGTTGTCAAAAAAAACGGTTACGTTTATGCGGGAAATTCATGCCAAGAAGCATTGGAATCGACAACCAAGTTAGATACTAAAACAGTACATAAAGAAACATCTTTTCCAGAATATTTTTTTCAAAGAAGTTAACAGTGGATCAAACGACTGTAACATTATTAGCAATTTGGCTCTTACAACTTACCCAGATAACTATTATAAAAAAGAAGGATATTGTATGTCAAACTCGGCATCTTCTGGATTCAATTTTATTACAACGAAAAACGAATTAACACATTTGTATTACACAGATGGGGCATGCAACACATTGGATAAAAATTACACTTATCAATACAAAACATGTGTATTAGACAATAATAAACAATACTAAACGTTCTGTTATAGTAAATCCACATCTGGTCGAGTATACATACAAAAGTTGGATATTACATATTGTATACAGTTGGTAGATGTTATGGGAATGAAGATACTACCAACAAAGCACAAAGAATCATCACAACCGCAGACACTACAAAGCCTTTCAAGTTGCAAGTTGCGCCATCTTGCAATGTTGATGAGTCTGAGTGGGTTGACTCTACTAGCACTGATACAATAAATAAAGTCACACATGAAATGGAAAATTCGTATTATCTTCAAGATCGAACATATGTTGATACTACGACATGCAGTGGTGCTTTGTATCCACTTCCCGATATTATATACACGTCACTCGGGTGCATTGATATGGATGGGTCTCATTTCACTTTAAATGTGGACGATAAAAAGGTGTATTTCAAATCATACAAAGACAAGGAATGCAAAACACCAGACACTGAAAATTACGAAGAAGACACCTTCAGAGAGTGTTCTGGGTCAGGTTCTTATAGAACAAAATACTATGGCCCAACACTGTATGCCCATCAAGAAGAAATGTATACCCAAACTTTCATTCCAAATAAATGCTATGTAAGTCCGATAGATGATACCAAGTTTGTTGAAATCAAAGACGACGAGAAGATGTACACGGCCGACACTTGTGATGATCTTAAAGCTTCAACTACGGAAGTTTTAGATTACAAAATTGAAATACTCGAGACTTTCCCTGCATACTATTACAGAGCCGTTTATTATGGAAAGAATGACTGCAATATGACAGCTAATTTGGATATTACTCCATATCCAGATATGTATTTCACAAAAGATAATATGTGTATTAGTGGTGCTACTGGATACAAATTTGAGACTAATAAAACTACTTTAACTTCATACTATTTCAGTGATGGAAAGTGTGCCACACCAAATGAAAAAACACCAAAACTTGTGTATGCTTACCAGACTTGTGAAAAAGATATCGATGAAGATTACTACATCTATTACTATGGTAATGATACGACTATCCCAACACCAATAGCACCCGAAGCTGCATTTGGGTTAATTGTTGTTATGATTTCTATGATCATTTTTGCCTTATTCTAAGAAACTTTTGACTCGTTTTGTTTTTTATATTTGTTAAATGTTTTAATAAAGTCAGTCCGTTAGCCTTATTAACCCTCCGAGGACTTTAAAAACCAAAAATAATGGATTCTGTGTGATTTTAGTTATTTTTCAAGTAAATGAGACTATTAATTCTTTGATTACTCCAACTTTCCTGAGACAACTGATTTTATAAAATTATATAGTAAAAAAATATAAATTATAGTAAAAAAGTGAACCTTTTGTTGAAGTTGGGACGAACAAAGGTTCTATTTTTCGCTTTATCCTTTCAGAAACAAGTCACAGTTCAATGGAATAGTCAGATCAAAATTTTATTGAGATGACCACAACATATTACAATAATAAAATTAATTATAAAATATAACAAAGAGATAACTGTAACGTAAAACATACCAGTCCAGAATATTCATAATCAATTACATCATGAAATAACAAAGAAAAGAAAAGAAATAACAGACTTAGAGGTGTATTGAAATTTCATTATGCAATTGATCTCAAAAATTAACAAGGGAAATTAAATAAATTTTTTGTAAACTTTGAAAAATACAAAAATTTAAAAATTGGGTTTAACTATTTTTTGTAAAAGAAATAAGATAAGACGTTAAGACACTTTTGTTTGTTTAGACTTTAAAAAAATTTCTCAAAGAAAATACATGTAAAATAACCAAAAAATTTCTTAAATACATTTTCAAAAGCATTAAAAATCGCAAAATCGAGATAAATTTATAAAATCAACTTTAACAATAAAAGTAGTCGCGTTTAAATAAACTTTGATCACCACGAGGTTTTGTGATCACTCGTTGAAATTTACGTCGTGCCACTGTCGAGGAAGCAAGATATGAATTTATTGTTTGTAATTTGAATATTTTATCATTTTCAAACAAAAACAAAAGGCAAAACGTGTTTTATGCAATCTATTTAGAATATAAAGATTTGTATTTGGTAAATAATTGTTTATT